ATTTTATTCTTCTGCATTCATTTCAAATATATCACCATCTCACTATCCAACCTACACCATTACTTGATATTATTGTATTATTTTCATTTTTAGCAACAACTGAACCACTCCCTCTGTAGTCAAGAAGGTTCAAAAACCTCCATGTATTGGTTCCTGTCCTAGACATGGTGCTAGACACTGTACGGATGTGGTTTCATTTAAACTTCTGAGTTCTATCGCATTTACTCACCAGGAAATGGAAGCTTAAAGAAATTTATCAACCTACCTTTGAACTACAATTCTTCCAATCCAAAATACCCACTTTTTGTACCTATCCACCTAATCAGCTTTCACAGGTCCACTTATTCCTTTATCATATGTGACAGATGCCCATTTGCTGCTATGTGGTATTTGAGCTGCACTATAATTCTGATCTGTATTGTCATGTGTTTTATGGATTTGCAGTCTTCTGCCTTCCATTTGTTTTTGCACCAATTCTATAAACACACTCCTTTATCTTCTGGACCAATTGCTATCTTTCTTATCTCACAGTTGTTATGGGAACCAACTGACATCATGCCTGGAAAAGTAATGTGCCATCAGTAAAGGTAAAACCTAATAAAACTAACCCCTGGTAAGTTAATCAAGTTTCCAGATAACAATGGAAAAGACACAAGATTAGACTTTAGAACAGTGACTGCTGTGACCTGGGTAAGTATTTGCAAACCAAACTGGCACCACATTGAGTCTAGCTCTTCCTCTTAGAAGGAAGCTGACCACCTGTCAGTCTCACTGATGCCATAATCTAGTCATTAAGTCTAAATGATATCACCAGTCTTTCTGATAAGGTGGGAGAGCCCACAAGATGCCTAACCGGCTATTCCTAAAGAACAGTAAAAGAATATTACAACGTAATGTCCCACCCCCTGTTCTCTGATGATGTATAAAAGTATAAGCCCTTGCTTCTCCAACTATTCTGTGTAGAAGAAACAGGATAAGCTTTGCTACAACTAAGCCCGAACCATCCCTGGTCTTAAATCCTATATTTAAGTTGCTTTAAGAAACTCTTTTATTCACCTATCTTCTTTTTTGTTTATCTATTGGAGGGAGGGAGGGAGAGAGAGACAAAGAAAGAGAGAGAAATGCTTTCATCTACTAGTTCACTCCCCAAATGCCTACAACGGTACACTGTCCCCTGGCTGGAACCAAAGCTGGGAGCTGGAAACTCAATCCAAGATTTCCCGTGGGAGTAACAGGGACTTGTGTACTTAAGCCATCATCACTGCCTCCCAGGGTCTGCATTAATAGGAAGCTGGAGTCAGGAGCAGGAGTTGGGTATCAACCCAGGCAACACTGAACATCGTTCTCCTCTTTCATTTTTCATGGAGTTCCCTTTATTTTTGAGTCTCAGAATTCCTTTTCACTTGGGCAGCATTACATGATCCATACCACTGACACTAAGCTTGACAGCAAGTCACCATCATTTTCAAGATCTCAGGTTGCTTTCCTGTACAGTAAGGGAGCTGAACTAGACTTATATCTCTAGTAATTTTTGACCCTAAAACTTGAAGATTCTGCTTGTTTAAAATGTGCCTTATTTTGCACTTCAATGAATGGTAAAGATTTTTCTGATAAACAAATATAAAGTCAGATAAAGACAATCTCTATAACCTCTTAAGAGCTTTCCCTTCTCTTTTGGGATGGGAGCTGTTTTTCTTTGTGTTTACTCAAGTCCCTGAAACATGAGTAATATATTATGATAGATAGAGTAAATTATGATAGTAGAATCTGACAATGCATCAGGGAAACGGAACAAATCACTGGATAAAATGAGATTCATGATTGTTATCCCTTGGAGTATGAAGAGTCCTACTTTCAAGGAGACTGGTATGAAATTATGGGGTTTCCATCAAGGTGGCATGTACCAATGCCATCTCACTAGTCCCAGTGATCAATTTCTGTTCACAATTGATCATAATGATAGGACTAAGAACCAAAGGGATCACATAAACAAGAATAGTGTCTGCAAATACTAGCTGATAGAATAAAAAACGGAGAGAACGATCCAACATGGGAAGTGAGATACACAGCAGACCCATAGAATGGCAGATGTCCTAAACAGCACTCTGGCCTCAGAATCAGCCCTTAAGGCATGCGGATCTGGCTGAAATGCCCATGAGAGTATTTCAGGCATGGAAAGCCAAGACACTCTGGGGGAAAAAAAAAAAAAAAAAAAAACCTAAATGAAAGATCTCCACGAGTGAGATCCCAGTGGAAAGAACGGGTCAGCAAAGAAGGAGGTACCTTTCTCTGAAGGGAGGAGAGAACTTCCACTTTGACCGTGGCCTTGTCTAAATATGATCAGAGTCGGTGAACTCAGGGGGCTTCCAAAGCCTTGGCAGCTCATGACAAGAGCCTAGGGTGATTACTGACACCATAAACAAGAGTGTCAATTTGTTAAGTCAACAACAGGAGTCACTGTGCACTTACTCCTCATGTAGGATCTTTGTCCTTAGTGTGCTGTACATTGAGATTTAATGCTATAACTAGTACTGAAACAGTATTTTTCACTTTATGTTTCTGTGTGGGAGCAAACTGTTGAAATCTTTACTTAATGTATGCTAAACTGATCTTCTGTATATAAAGAGAATCGAAAATGAATCATGATGTGAATGGAAGGGGAGAAGGAATGGGAAAGGGGAGGGTTGCGGGTGGGAGGGACGTTATGGGGGGGAAGCATTGTAATCCATAAGCTGTACTTTGGAAATTTATATTCATTAAATAAAAGTTTAAAAAAAGAAATTATGGGGTTTCATTCAGGGTCTATTTTGCACCTACTTGTAAGTGGAAAAAATGTTTCTATGGACTGAACTGCATCCTCTCACCCCTACTCCCAACCCCACTCCTAAATTCATAGGTTAAAGCTCTAACCCCCTAAATGACTGTATTTGGAGCTAAGACTTTTAGAAGTTAATTAAGGTTAAATGAGGTCTTACAGGTGAGGCCTTAATTCAGTAAGATTGGTAGCCACCCCACACACACACACTTCCCTCCATGTAAGGACATAGTGAGAAACCAGCAGTCTACAACCCAAGAAGAGAACCCTCAACAGAAAGGGTTGAATCAGCCAGAATTTGCATCTTGCACGTCCCAGATTCCATAACTGTGGGAAATAAATTTATGCTGTTTAAACCACCTGGTCTATGGCATTTTGTTGTTGTTGTTGTTGTTGTTTATGGCAACCTGAATAAACTAAGACATAAGTGGTACCAGCATTAGAAGCTAAAGTGTCAAATCCAGTGACATTTTAAAAACCAGGGGCTGGCACTGTTATTCAGCAGTTTAAACTGTTAAGACGCCAGCATTCATCTTGAAGTCCCTCCCGGCTGCTCTGCTTCTGATCTAGCTCCCTGACAGTACAACCTGGAAGACAGCAGGGGAGGGCTTAAGGAGTTGGGCCCCTGCCACCCATGTGGGACACTGGGATGGAGTTGCTGGCTCCTGGCTTCAGCATGGTCCAGACCAGGCTGCTGCGGCCATTTGGGGAGTACAGCAGATGTAAGATCTCTCTTTCACTTTCTCTCTCTGCCTCTCCCTCCTCCATCCTCCACTCTGTCACTTCTCTTTTCAAATAAATAAATCTCTTATTAAAAAAGCCACTACCCTGAGAAAAGAGGCCTAAGAAGTTGAAATACGTGAGACCAAATAGCCCAGTTGGTGGTAAAGCCAGGGCTAAAAGCTTAAGCGAAGCTTGAGCGTCTCCAAAAGAAAAGCCAGCTAGGAAAAGCCAATTTCCAAGTCCCCATTTTGCAGTCACTCCTCTCTCAACCAAGCTTCAGAAAAGTGCCTGGGGGCCAGCGCTGTGGCACAGTAAGTTAATCCTCCACATGCAGCGAGGGCATCCCATATGGACAACGGTTCTAGTCCCAGCGCTCTTCTTCCAATCCAGCTCTCGGCTATGGCCTGGGAAAGCAGTAGAAGATGGCCCAAGTCCTTGGGCCCCTGCACCCACGTGGGAGACCAGGAAGAAGCACCTGGCTCCTGGCTTTGGATTGTCGCAGCTCCGGCTGTTGCAGCCATTTGGGGACTGAACCAACGGAAGGAAGACCTTTTTCTCTGTCTCTCACTGTCTGTAACTCTACTTCTCAAATAAATAAATAAATTTTTTTTTTAAAAAAGAAAAAGAAATGTGCCTGATCCTTTTGTGGTTCACCAGTGTGAAGACTTGGCTTGCATACCTTTGTGTGAGATGTGTGTTCCTCCCACCTTGTATGACCTCCACACTGTACATCCATTTGATGTGAGAAAAAAGGCAGGCAGGAAAGTGTCTATGTTCCACACAGCAGCAGCAGCATCCATAAAATGTTTGCAAATTAACAGAAACTGTCCTGCCAACTGAAATAGCTTTTGGTATTAGATCAGCGTTCAAATCTTCACTCCTTCCACTTTCTAGGCAGGTAATCGGAGACAAATTACTTCTCTGAATCTCACTCATGGAATAAACAATGCCTTTTAAATATAGGGCTGTGGCAGATAAAGCAAGATTGCACGGACTGAGTGCCGGCCCAGTGTCAGGACTGGAGGGAAAATACTGCATGTGATCAGAATAACATCCAGGGATACCATCATGCGTTGTTATTTCCCAAGTAGATGGAAAAGCGGGAGAACCGAGGTGTTTCTCGGGGTACACACCTAGGTAAGAAAATAAATCTCAGAATGGAGGTTCTATGTGAGATATAAACGGAATTTTCACCCAACCTCTACGCAGTGCCAGTTTCACGGCCAAAGCCGGCTGCATCACACGGTTTGTGGGTCCCGCCCGAGGTGCGGGTGAACTGGATGGTTGGGGCAAAGGGGAAGTGCTGGCGGTCTCGGGCTGCGGAGAAGGCGAGTAGGGTTTAGGTGGTAAGTCGCACCCAACCGTTTCACTTCGTCCTAGGCCATCCGCAGGGACCTGCCGCCACCTGCGAGCTTCCAGGGCAGCCTGCAGGGGGCCGTCGCCGCGGAGGAGGGGGCGGAGGCAGAGGCGGAGGCGGCACCCAGGGGCCGGGGAGGCCGGGACCATCGCACAGACAATTCCGTTTTCCTGAGGCGGCTGTAGCAGGGACTGCTGCCGCGGGCGCGGGGTGGGCAGGCCTGCGCGTGGGTTTGGAAGGAGCTGTCTGCTCCGGCACTGGAGTGTCTGGCAGCGGAGGGAGGAAGAGGAGGACGAGGTGGACTACCGGGAGGAGGTAGAGGCGGAGGAGAGCCACGCACCGAGCTCGCGCGAGCAGGACTGGCCCCTTTCACAGACCGCCGCGGAAAGGGGGAGGAGGCTCCGCCGAGGCCAGCGAGCGGGTGCCTCTCCTCCCCGGGTGCCGGTTTCACCCCGTGGCAGTGCCTTCCAGCAAACGCTACAGCGGCCGGGGCTGCAGCGGCCAGACGGATGCCAAGGCCACACGGCCGGCGCGCGGGTAGCCGCCGTCCCACGCGGGCTCCGGGCGCCCAGGGCTGCTGGTGAGTCGGCGCGTGCGTGCGTCAGGGGGAGCGCGCGCCTGCCGCGTGTGCCGGGGGCCCGCGGGCGGTGTCGGGTCCGGGGCTTGCGAGGTGGGGGTTGTTGCGCTTTGCGGCCCGCTGGCCTCCTTCTAAGCCCGCGCTGCCTGAGCGCCCCAGTGGTCGGCCCGGAGGGTCCGCTTCACCTCGCGCGGAAGGCAGGAAGCCGCGGGTCCTGGTGGCGACGGGGACTCGGACCGTGACCTGTACGTGGGTGCGTGTGAGTTCCAGGCTCGCGCTAGGGTCGCAGCCTGGGCGATGAGGTCGACCTTCTGAGACCACCGCACTGTCTGGCGGTGCGTGGGGTGGAGGCGGGAGGGGCGGGGTTGGAAAAACTGTTTTCTTTTTAACCCCTGCGAGGCGTGTCCCGGTGGTATTACTTTTATACGGGTAACAAGCCCTTTTCCCTCACCCTAACTATGGGAGCCTGCCTCCAAAGTCCCCATTAAAATGCACAAAGAAATGGCATGCCACTGAAATTCTCCAGAACTCTCTCAAACAACCCACGCGGCCACTAGTCAAACGCCTAAGGTGCGTTAACTGAAGTGTAAAGAGATAAATGACTCAGAAGACAAAACTGAGCTAGAGTGCTGGGGAAAAAAAATCTCAGGTGTAGGGGGGTGGGGGCGGGGTGGCCTGCGTTCCGGAAATGCGTGTTTGGTGGGAAATACAGCTAAGGTCTTTCAAAGTTACTCCCGGGGAGTGCACTGCTTTTCAAACATCGTGTTAATCGCTGAGAATGAAATCAAGGCTTAAGTAGTAAACGTTTCCAAAACTATAATGGCTATCACTAGGCCCTTCAAGGTCAGTAACACAGATTTGTGCCAGCAGATAAATTACACCTGTGTGGTTGATTTCTTGTTGCAGTGTTTGCAAGGTAGTTTTCCGTGGTGGTTTTACCCAGAAATCAAGCCATTCTGGTGTGGACCATCCTCTCACCTACCCCCCCCTCCCCAACTGTTTCCACTGGCAATCTTACGTTTTCAGCACGAGTGCTACATTGAACTTGTAAAATATATCCCGCAACCGGATTATAGTGGACATCTTGTAGCTCCACTATAAATACCAGTGTTTATTTTTAACACAAGTTGATGTCTGAGCAAGGTTCTCCTTGTTTACCGTTTGCTCCGGGAGCATCTTCATGCAAAGGCATGACATGTTATTAGACTCAGCCTGGAAAATGAATTGATTGCTTACTCTTTTGTTCGGGCACACACACACAGCAAGTTGTTGGCCGCTTTGGAATTTGCTTTTGGGTACATGTTGGCTGTACTTATCTGCTGGTTCTTGGTAATTTTAAGAAGAAGCTTATTAAAGCCTTTCACAAAGGAAGTGCCACTTAAATTGTAAGGCAGACGTGTTAAGTCCTTTACGCCTATCTTAATCTTCAAGGTCAGTTTCTTGCCTACTTTTGCCCTGTATTCTAGGGTTCTTATTGCCTGGGCTCTTGGAGGGAGTAGTGAGAGGACCTGTTTCCTGGGGGTGTCCTCGGCAAGGACATTTGCTCCTGGAGGGGCGGGCATCTCAGGTTGGTTCCTGAGACAGGCTGATATAAAACAGAGAGTGCTTCGTTAGAGTTGCCTCTTTTGCTCCTCAGGACAGAGGACGTGAAAACTACCTCGGTTCCATCAGATCCCTACTTGCAGGACTCTTAGACCTATTTACAGCAACAGTTTCAGGGGGAGATTGCATTTTACACAGAAGAAAAGTCTGATAATTCATGTGAGAGAGAGAAGAAATGTGAGAGGAAATCATGGCCATGCTTCCCAGGAGGTGCTGGGTGCTTTCCTGGCAGAACTAAACATTTTAATTAATCTGAACTTAGGATTCTTTCTAACATTAGCATTATTTTTCTTGACCCTATAAGATTTACGGGTGTCTTTATTGGAACTACGAGAAATGGTTCATGGTTTTCCCTGAAAATATTAGAGCTTATTTCCTATCCCTTTGGGCTAATAGATTGCAGCTGTTCAATAAGTATTTGTTAAACGAGTTACAAATTCTAGAATGTCTTTGTCTTCCAACCTAACTACATCAGCTGTTTCGGTATTAATTTTTTTTAGTTATGACTTTGTATGAATTACCAAGCATTGCATCTAATTGAAGCCCAGTAGATGTATCCAGCTAAGAAGACCAACTTCCTCAACTGACAGAACAATGACAATCTCTCTACAACAAAACAAAAAACACTGCCCTGGTACCCATTGACTTGCAGATTCCAGCCATGTGAACCTGTGAACTGTGCAGTTAGATGTGTGAGTTTACATTCAGAAGTCCTGAGTGGACATCAGAATGTTCAACTCAGGAATAATCTGGATGGAGCTGCATCTGGATGTGGCTTTTGTCAACTTATTTGCATTTCAAAGCAAATCAGATGGACTTCTAGTACAATCCTGCAACTTCTCTTGCTGAGTACAAAGCAGTTGACAGGTTGCTCAGTCTTCAAAGGACATATTGTTTGATTCTCTTTCAAATTTTAAATGAAATCCATGTTATTTTTGTCCAGTGATGGAGCTGGCTTAGAGACCTTAATTCAGAGTGCTGGTTACTTAGTAACGTGTGCTTATTAAAAGCAGTCCCTTGACATAAGCACCTGTGTTTCTCTTTGTTCTAGTTAGCCTAGCAAGGTACTCTTTTGGAAATGGGTACATTGTTTGGTCTGAAATATTAAGGGTGTTAGCCCTCCTTTTTTTGTTTCAGTTTTGACTTTCCATCTCTAATCATTAACAGTTCTCCCTGTGATTCAGGATCTAAATTTAGGGTGAAAGATTAGAGAGCTAACTGAAATATACCTAGATAGTAACATTGCATTGTTTAAGAATAACGTACATGTTCTCTTTGATATTCTTCCCTTAATGTCTTTCCTGTGTGGCTTTCATAGGAAAAAAACTAAACTCAAACTTACTTTCTCCTACTACACACTGAAAACATGGACAAAGTGTCTGTGAATCAGGTGCCGACAACACCCTCCTTGGGTTCAATTAATTTGCTTGAGTGGTGCACGGAACTCAAGGAAACAGTTTTCCTAGTTTATTATTAAGGATATTACAAAGGAGATGGTTGAAGAGTTGCACAGGGCTAGGTATGGAGGAAGGTGTGAAGCTTCCATGCCCTCACTGGGCTTGCCACCTTCCAGGAACCTCCACATGAGCTTTTGGGAAGTGCTCTGGACCCCGTCCTTTGGGGTTATATGGGACTTAATTGCAGATATAATACAAATATACTGGATGGTCTGTCTGTCCCAGTTCTTCAGAATTCCTTCCTTATTGTTACTGGACAGCACTTCCCCTAAAATAGGTCTTATCCTGCCTACTGGCTTTAGTCTGCCCCAGATCTGGGTATTGTGGCCATTTGGGAAGTGAACCAGCACATGGAAGATAACTATCCCTCTTTCTCCCTCTCCCTCTCCCTCTGTCACCCTGCCTTTCAAACAAACCAGTTTTAAAATAAATAAAATAATAGTTTTATTATCTATGATCAGATTAGGTTACAGAATTCCTGTGTGGCCTACCCCAGGATAGAAAAGTGGGGGAGATTAGAGCTTCTGTTACTTGCTTTGGGAAAGAGAAATTCTCGTTCCTGTGGCCTGCCTTTGGGAGGGAGTTACAAGATAGGAACCATGGTTTAAAACCAGAATACAAGGATCATAGTCCCCCCCCCCCAAAGATTTACTTATTCATTTGAAAGTCAGAGCCACAGAGAGGTAGAGTCAAAGAGAGAGAGAGAGAAGTCTTCCATCTGCTGGTTCACTCCCCAAATGGCAGCAATGGCCAGGGCTGAGCCAGGCCAAGCCAGGAGTCAGGAGCTTCCTCCAGGTCTCCCACGTGGATTCAGGAGCTGAAGGACTTAGGCCATCTTCTGCTACTTTCCCAGATGATTTGCAGGCAGCTGGATCAGAAGTGGAGCAGCCAGGCCTTCAACCAGCGTACATATGGGATGCCAGCAATGCAAATGATGGCTTTACCCACTATGTCACAGTGCCGACCCCTGGATCATAGTATTATACCCTCTCTAATCAAGCTTCTTTCATTGTAAATAAGAATTAATTGAAATTCTCAAATATTTTCTTTTTTTTTAAAAAAATACTTATTTGAAAGGCAGAGAGAAACAGAAACATACAGACAGCTCCTATCCTGGAGCAGCTAGACCCAGGTCAGGCCAAAGCCAATTGCTGAGAATTTCAGTCTGGGTCTCTCACATGGGTGGCAAGGACCCAACTGCTTGAGTAACCGTCTGCTGCTTCCCAGGGTGTGCATTAGCAGGAAGCTGGAATTGGGAGTGGAGCTGGGACTTGAAACCAGGCACTCTGATATTGAATGTGGACATCTCAGGTGTTATCATAACCGCTGCACTAAACACCTGCCCTTATTTTTTTTTTTTTCTACTGGGCCATGTCCAAAACTAAATACATAAAATAAAAAGCCACTTATCACTATTCTGAAGTAACACAAACACTGTTATTCTCCGCATAATGAAATGGCATTCATAGCAAGTGTTTATTTGAACACTTGAATGAGTGTTAAAGGCATATTCTCTCCATGTCGTATTAAGGCTCTTGAAAGCTGAGGAGTGGACTTTTATTTGATGTGGTAGCCAATTGTAGGTTCCTTGTAAGGAAGTACGTGTTGAAAGTATCCTTTTGAAAGCACACTTTGGCAGTTGGGTGGGGAACAGATGAGGAGGAGGAGGAGGTGGAGGTGATAATCTTATCAGGTGGTGACAGCCTGACAAACACTTCTGAGACCGAGGAGGGAAATGCCAGGCAGTTGGACCCCAGGATTTTACGTGGGTGAGGAGGACAGTCCAGCACAAGTGTGATCATGGACGTATTACCGACACATGCAGACATCTCCAGTCGATCACAGCATCCCGTCCTAATGAGCTCTGGTATAACTGCAGAACCTTGCAGACATTTGACAGATACTTGTCAATGAATGCTAGTTGTTAAATGTGCTGTATGCTAG